GTAGGCCTGGGGTTACCTGCAGCGAAATTTCACGCTGCTAAAAGGGGAAGTCGCTTTCTCTCCTAGCAAACCATAACCCTGTATGCTGCGCCCGAATTTGTTACGATAAAGGCTGAGTATGCAAGAGTGGTGCGACGTCGCGCTCACATCAGTTCAAACTTGGCGTTAAAGGAGGAAAGATGCCTCCCAGAGTAGCGTCTGCGTGGACGGTCACCTTATGATGGCATACTCGTGCAACACGCCCCGCGCTTGTGTCGTATTCGTATCCTACTCGTCGGCACCCTGTTCCCGCGTTGACATCTACTGCGCGACCGCGCGTCCAAATGGTTTTGGCGATGCAACGCCTCTATAAGTGCACAAATTTGAAACGCAAGCAGGCGCGAAGTCGCGTGGTGATCTCTTCGCAAATGACCGCCAATTAAAAAGTATGTCACTCGCTGAGCCTTATGTACGCGAAAATCGTAAATGGCAAATTGTTGGAAACATTGAAGTAGAACACAGTCCAAGAGTCTGCTCATTTAAAGTACACGATAAAAAAATTGCCTATAGAAAGTCTGTACGCGAGAGCGTGAAAAAGAAACTTAGGAAAATAACCTGAATGGATTCCCAGATTGCATACGACCATGGACGCAACACATAGCATCCAGAAACATCGTAATATTCAATCATTTCCGCCTTCGTGATCACCTTCAACAACGAGATACAAATTATTTGAACTGTAAACTGAGAAGTTCCCACTAAACAGCACTAAGATACGGTTTATATCTGAACAAAGATAAGCAGGTCGTACATGACGGCCGCACATGACGTAAGCCTTTACCGCTAGGTACATCAAAGCCAAAAGGGTCCACGCTCACCTGACCATACCATTCAGAATAATTTTCATCCTTCGAAACTTCGATTCCCAACTTTGTTTGCTTTTTTCCATCAGGTTTCGCGTCCTGTTTTTTCTCCTGCTTCTTTTCCGGAGCAGGCTTTTTGTCCTGAATTCATGAAATAAAAAGCAACTAAAAAGTTAACGGGATTACGCAAGAGGTAACTCGCCCACTTTTTGCTTACGACCACCAGGAGCCGCATAATCTTTGCCAGTTATCTCTTTGTAGGTCAGCTTCAACCGCAACAGTTTTTCAATGGCTTCCTTTTTCACGTCCTAAAACAAACCTTCGAGAAACATCACCAGAATGTGGTCAATGATTCTAATAGCATACCTCCGACGCTGAAGCATCACCTTTGAGCTGGCGCACTAAATCACCTTGTGCTACAATCTGTTCCTCAATTTCTAGCTCCTTCGCCATTCTAGACTATGTGTGACCCTAGAAAGATGTCAAAGGAGTAAAGGAACTAATGTGAAAGCAGGAGTGCAAGAAATACAGTAATGGAGAAAGACGAATACTCGCGGGAAATGGACCCGTTTTGAAAAGTGAACAGCACAATAGAGTTTTCAATCTTTATTACTACGTAATTAAAGACACCCGAGGCAAAACCCTTAAGAAGGCTATTATCACACTGAATTCGGTGACCCGTCAATAGCTTCGCTTTCCAGCTCGTCGCGACGCTTCTCTCAGAATCTCCACAATGGCTGAAATCAATCTCATGATAGCATACTTAACTGAAAAACAGCTTTCGAGGCTCTAACAGAGGGCCCTATTAAAGATTCGGAAAAAAAGCCGTATGAAAATCAAAGATCAAGCCGTAAAGGACCTAGCGGATCTTTTGTGTGAGATTTTGGTAGTCTCATTAAAGAGTTCGTATCACAATCCCAAAAAGAATTACTAAACCACGCCCAAGGCAGCAAGTCCTTCGGGCTGAAACCGGTTCGCTGAAATTAATGTGGACGGGAAGGAACATTGACTCATCGTTGGTCCTCGACGTAACCAATTCAGCCTACCACGCACAAAAAAGTCTCAACTGTCGTTTTACGGCAGAGTAAGGCAAATGTCAAGCACAAATGAGGTGAGAAAGTAAAGTTGATACATTGGTCTATAATTTTAATATTGATTAATTATTAATACTAATTTTTCTTCGGCAAAACTTCTGGAACCCATACCTTCGCAATGAAATGGCTATATCGGAACGGTTCCTCGCCATCTTGCTCCACATACTTCAGTCCATTATCCATACCTTCAGGCATGATGGTTGGGAAAACA